AATAGCAACCAAGCACATAAGAGGAAATAAATAATTTATTTCAAAAGAAAACCATGCTCTTTGTTAAATTAGGCAGAATCAATCAGTCAATCCAGTGAACATCTGACTTAAATTTTTACACAGTGCATAGCCTACATTTGTTCTGCAGACTTAAAAGGCTTTAAAACACCATTAATGGAAAGCGAAATTGTTTCTGCAGCTTGTGAAGGCTTAGAAAGGCTGTTTTCCAACACAGCCAGAGACATAGTGTAACGGTTTAGCGCGCGACTATTTATTATTATTTTATGGGGCCAGTCAGGGATATCCTGACAAATAGTCGTCTCACACACACACACACACACACACACACACACACACACACACACGAGTATGCCCGTTACAAGGATATATGTATATTAACGTCAATCTCTGTCCACATAAACCCTTGGAATAAAATCATTAGTAGCAAAAGAAGCATCAACAACCGTTATTAGTGATTAGAAAGTATATTGTTCACCAAACACAGCTATAACAGTCAGAATAATGGGCATTCACAGACTTCCTCAAGTTATAGTCAAACACAAAGACAACTTAGTCATAAGTTCCTTGAAACACAGAAAACAGTTATGTCCATCAAAAATATAAAGCCAAAAGTAAATTTTCAGTTCATCCCAAAAATACCATAGGCCCAAAAGTAAATGTTCAGTTCCAAAAAATACCAGCAACAAAAAAAAGACTTCAAACATTCTACCGCTGTGTGCGGTCTACAACGACACGGTGCAACTCCGTCCGTAGACACTGAGTAGGCTATACGCCATCCGCCACAGCCGCCATGGTCCAGACACCACTACACACACGGTCTTTTCAAGATTTAATCTACCTTTCTCTTGCAGTCTCTCTCCTTACTCATCTCAAACTGCCTCTCCTAAGATGCATGTTGACAGGGCTCTGGTGTTGCCAAAAGATTCTACAGCGTCCCGTCGACAGGTCTTCACCATCAACTAAAAGCCTTCGCAGAGTTCTGTAATTGTGACTGCAATAATTTTAATATATACATAGCGGAAACCCTGCTGAAGGGAACCTTGTGCCTGTGTCCTGGGATGAGAACGTGTGTGTTTGAAACCTTTGATCAGCTCTGAGTTCAGCAGCAACTGAAACACTTTTCCTCCACATTTGGGATTTAATCAGTCTTTATCATCCAGTTACATGAGAAATACAGTATATGAGCTTAGAGACCTAGTTTTAATTAAAATTTCTCACATGGAGTCAGGAAGAGAAAACAGTGAGGTGTTTGTTTTCAGACTTAAGTACCACCAGATAAAAGTGGTCAGGTCAAGTAGCGTAAATATGATATGTTTGGGTGTGAATGCTGCAATCATTCATAGCCTATGCGGGTATCTCCTCCCACATGACAACGGGCTGCAAAGGATAGTGGTGCTATTTGTATTTTAGTTTCCTGCTTCAGGACATCACACTGCTGTGAGCCGACTTACACTGAACAAAGAGATTTCATTACGAATTATATAGACATTATGTTGCTTTATATTGGTATATGTGCTTCTATTTTTAACCTACTTATAATAGTTATGTTAATTTTTGCCTGTTCAGCTTTGTTGTTTTTAGTCTGATTTGTCTTTATACTCAGCAACTCCTGTCTCCCTTTCTCTCCTGTACACTCTCATTGTGACCCTTAAGAGTAAACATTTTGATTGAAGCAGCAGCTGCAGAAAGGGATCTTTGTTTATCACATTGGAGACACTATTATGTGGACTGCATGCCGGTGTGTCTGCTTTTGTTAGAACAGGTACAACCAGTAGTTGTCTAGGAATGAAGGAAGCAACATTTTATACATATTTATTGTCAAGTGACACAGAAAATAATAAACAGATACATGCTTATCTAAGTTCGAGGGAAGGGAAGGGCTGCGGGTGGTGCCAAATCAACAAACAACTTTTTTGGCCAACTAATTTCATCACCTTACAAACTGAAACAAATGAAAAGACCAAAATCAACAAACCCCTACCTAACTAAACATACCTGTCAAGAAAAACACATAGTAGTAGCCATTCATAAACTAGTGTTTCAATAAACAATGAAAAGCTAGGTGTGGTGCCAGAATAAAGCATGTCTAAAACGAGGACTATTAATTTAAACCTGTAACCCAGCTCCCAAAAATCACTACAGTGCCTCAAGCAAGTTGACATAAAACACAACCGATGTTAACCTTAATAACCCAATAATGTGATAAAATGTCTAAATCAATAATGTAATAATATATCTGTACCACTAATATAATAAATTGTTACATTAACAGGAGGTTATTATATCATTGGGTAAACCTTATTTTTTCAGAACTTCATAACGTGGTAACTTCCCAATATTGTAATAACTTGGCCAATGTAGTAGAATGCCACCAATAATCTCTTAATGTTTTGGTAATGCATTGTTTTTGCAATTAAGTTTTATTATTATTATTTTCAAATAGGCAAAGCTATGATCATGTCTAATAACAGTAATTTTATTAGGGTGGGGATGTAGCAGTGGATAAGACGCATTGCCTTGGGTGTGAGAGACCCGAGTTTGATTCCTGCTGTGACACATTCACCAACGTGTCCCTGCGCAAGAGACAAGAGAAGCAGAGACATATATAGCAATTGTAAGTTGCTTTGGATAAAAGCGTCAGCTAAATGAGTAAATGTATTTGTGAATATTACACACTAACATGCGAGGACCCTATTAGAACTTAAAGTTTTTTTTCTGCATCTCATATTTGGTGGCCTAAACATGCTCAAAAACTCACCACACTTCGCTCACACGTCAGGCGAAGCAAAAAAATTACGTGTTTTGTGTCTCGCACATTAGCGTGGCAAAATGGCTCACGAGTGCCCCTATAGAGCAGACCCTGGCCAAAGTTTCACCTAAATGTACGACACTTCTGTGCTACGTTTCATGTCCAGATGTACAAAAAAGTCTTTTGAAGCAATGCCCAACAGAAAGTCGGCCATTTTGAATTTAATCTTTTGCCAATTTACAAACTTTGTATTTTAACAAACTCCTCCCAGAGAAATAGTCTGTCCCCGAGTTCAGATTTTCTCTGTGCATTCTAAACCCACTGACAAAATAAAAGTTGTACAAACAGCGAGTTTTGTCCATGAGCATGCCTGTGGCATGGCGTCTAGGGTTGGGCATTGTTTAAAATTTTACGATATCAGTACCAAAACCAGTACCCTTAAAGTGATACCAATACCATTAGAGTACTTAATTTGATACCTTACATAAAAGGCCACCCGTTGAAGCCATAGTAGTTTATTGGCGGCCTATTGTTATTTTCATCGTTATTATGGACAAGCAAGGTTATCTAATTTATGTTTATCTTGTTTCAAATAACTGTTACATAAAAGTTTTTGGAAATTGTATCTGATCCTCCTCATCCTAATTAGTTCATCCTCACGGGTAGTATTAGCCTTTACGTGGAAAGGCTACAGCTTGCGAATTTTTTTATATTTGAATGAGAAATGAGTGAAATAGTTTAGTTTCATAGTAGTATACCATTTAAGCTCACCCTACAATGATAGGAATTCTTTAAAAAAAACAAACAAAAAAAGACACTAAAATCTACAACAATGTACCATTAATAAACTGACACATTACACAATAAAATGAAAATTATGAATTTAGGGGCCTTCTGATAAACGGTTTCAGACAGCTTTTAAAATGGCCACACTTAATTTACCCTATATTGTAGAATATCACGATACGTTTGAAATTGCAATAAGATCGTATAAGTATTGTGATAATTTCGTATCGTGGGTCTCTGGTGGTTCACAGCCCTACTTGTCTCACTGTCTGTGACAACAGCAGACTATTAGGGGGAGGACTGGGCAGGTCAGTGTGTAGATGCAGTCAAAATAACATAAGTGCTGCTCAGAATATAAAGTAACTGTTGTCCAAAGGCACCGCTAGACCCTTTTTTCACATGCTGTGCTCCAGTAAAATGGTCAAGAACCCTTGATGTCATTTTTGGGCTTTTGGGCTCCGCGGTCAAGTTAGCGATAATAAATATGCATGTCCGGTAAAACTTTCAGGTAAAACAGAAAAACAAAACAACCAGCATGACTGATGTATCGGTTTATTAAGGATGTCTACAAATGTTGCCTATAAAATGGATACAACAGAATAAAATATCACAATACAAAAATACAGAACAATAAAAGAATGTGGGCATGGATATTCATGGAAACATAAACATCAATAAAATGCTTATTTTTAAAGATTATTCAGCTACAATGACTAACTTATTTACCAAAAAAATACTTATACTTATTTGTCCTATAACATGTTCAACATTTGCTGCACTGACCTGTGGTTACCTACCAGCTGTTTCTACTGTGCTATTAATTTATGTTATTGTCTTATATAGCCCCTACTCACGCCACGCCACTCGCTCATGCCATGTCAGCTTGTTCTTGCCTCTCAAAGTCTGATGTCGGCAGATAACAGCAGACTAATGTTACGTCACTGTGCAGCTGCAGCGCATCACGGTCTGTCTGTGTTTCGGTTGCTTTCCTAACTTTGTGCCTGTGGCTCAGTCGAGGTTTAGTTAAAACTCTGGACTAATGCAAGATGGAAAAAACAGTGGATTTACAGTGAAGCATCACATGTTCAGTCAAAGTATAAATAGTATTTTACATTTGAAACTGAATTAAAGGAAACCTGGAGTGCAGGTTGGAATGGGCCTGATTGGGCACCTCACGATTCGATTACGATTCAGACACTGCGATGCGATTATAAAACGATTATCGATGCATCTTGACGCATACGTTTTTTTCTATATAGGATCTCCAGATAATTACTAAGCACTTAATTTGCGCATTAAAATCCAAAAGAAACATCTCCTAATTAGCTTAAAAGGACAAATGGTCCGGGGCTGCTTCCGCAAGATCCGCCTTTTGTGCTCCGTCAACATTACAATTACTATTAACATAAATAATAGATGTTTTGACATTTGTTGACATCCAAGAATCAATTTTTTCTCCCACCCCTAGCTCAGACTAATGGAACCGTTGCTTCTCCAGATTGGCCCCCAGTCTTATCAGACTTTGAGGACTGAATTACAGCATGAGGAGGAGGTTGGAGGAAACAACTCGCTTGTCTCAAAACTAACTAAGCAAGGTGACCGCGTTCATGGCGTTTAAGGTTTCTAAAATTAGTAAAGGTTTTCCCACATGTTTCACACCAGTACGGTTTCTCTCCAGTGTGAACACGTGTGTGTCTTTCTAGGTGACCTGATTGAGTGAAAGTTTTCCCACATTGTTCACACCAGTACGGTTTCTCTCCGGTGTGAACACGTCTGTGTCCTATCAATCCACCTGCCAAAGTGAATGTTTTCCCACATTGTTCACACCAGTACGGTTTCTCTCCGGTGTGAACACGTATGTGTTTCATAAGGTCACTAGATGTAGTGAAACTTTTTCCACACTGCCCACAGCTGTAAGGTTTCTCTCCAGTGTGAATACGTAGGTGCAACTTTAGGTGACCTAATGTAGTGAAAGCTTTCCCACACTGTACACAGAGGTACGGTTTCTTTCCAGTGTGAACACGTTGGTGCAACTTTAGGTGACCTAATGTAGTGAAAGCTTTCCCACACTGCCCACAGCTGTACGGTTTCTCTCCAGTGTGAACACGTTTGTGGGCTTTTAGGTTATTTGATTGAGTGAAACCTTGCCCACACTGCCCACAGCTGTACGGCTTTTCTCCTGTGTGAACACGTTGGTGGGCTTTTAGAAAATCTAATCTAGTGAACGTTTTCCCACACTGGTCACAGCTGTATGGTTTCTCTCCAGAGTGAACTCTCTGATGACTCTTTAAACGTCCAGCTCTTGTGAAGGATTTGTCACAGTGGTGACAGCAGTGACGTTTGAGTCCCTCTCTTCCTCTCCGTTTCTATATCAACAGACAGAGAGAAAGACAGTAAGGAAATGTCATGGTGGAGCGAGCCATCTAGAAGCAGCTGACACTAAGACCAGTATAAACCTGCTTCCATGAAGATTTGTATGGCGGGTGAGAACAGTGAACTTTTATGCGCCAGTCTGTTATTCTACAGCTGGTCTAACCAGGCGAACCACAGTAATAATTAGAGCCCGACCGATTTATCGTTTTGCAGATATTATCGGCCGAGATAAGCTACTTACTGATTTATCTGCATCGGAGTTTATAACAGCCGATATTTGACTATTAAAAAAAGAGAAAGACGGATACTTCCCTCATGTCATGAGTGTGCTCTGCAGCTCCTCTTTTAACAACACCGCAGCACCACAGAACAAAACATAAGCTTACCGCAGTCTACCAGATCTCAGAGCGGTGAGTAGCTCCCGTTAGCTCTTACACTCAGTGCTCTCGGTGTGTTGGTCATTTGTCACGTCAATTGCATGACTTAAATAATAATAAAACAAGCAACTATTCACTTCTCTTTGGAGACCAACACTTGATAACAAGCTAGGGAGAAGACGCTGGCGCTGTCTGTTTGCCGCTTCTCCAGTCAAGTTTTTAAGCAAACTTTTATTTTATTTCAACCTTTTTACTATTCGGGCCTCCGACCAGTGGACCTTTTTAAATGACCGTTTACTTTCTGCACCACCGAACTGTGGACCTGTCTGGATAGGTATTAGGTAGTTTGAGTCTAGCGGTGGCCTACCTGTTGCCGCTAGCAAAAACACTTGCTCGGAGACTCCCTGGTAATTGGTCATTGCCGCTGAAACCGGAAAATTTCCTCCTGGATAGCCTGGACTCAATTTTTCCATGCCATCGTACCAAGTGCTTCTGGGAAGCCTGAAACCACCCATCGGCGCTGCCGCAGAGTTGAAAATCCTTGTAGCTAGCATTCTGGCTACGCGGCTAAAAACAACCCGCACCTTTTCCACGCCACCGCCAGCACCACCACTATGTTGAGTTACTCCGTCAACCAGCTGGTGAATCTCAACAGTTTAATCACTGCAGTGCACGCTGGAGTGATTAAACAACTACGACTTCTCCGCTTCAGTGTGCTGAATGGGAAACGTGGAGTGGACTCCAGTATGCTACGGCCAGTGCAAAGATTTGTTGCACCATCAAGTAGCAAAATCGTACTCTTAAATACACAGTCTATGGCAAATAAATTCTGCCTCATTCATGACTATATCCTGGATAAATGTCGGGATTATATGTGCATTATAGAGACCTGGCACCAACTAGATACCTTTTTTTCTTTAAATGAGAGCTGTCCCCAAGGATATAGCTACCTCCAGAAAGCTCGCAGCACAGGGCGTGGAGCTATCTCTGCAACCATTACCTGAACTGTCTTCATTTGAATGCCTTGCATTTAAATGTAAGTCCCCTTCCCCTGTGCTATTCCTCCTCATCTACCGACCACCAAAACCAAACACATCATTTATCACTGAGATGTCAAATCTTCTCACAACTTTCTGCACATCCTCCACTGCTGTTATAATTTTAGGTGATATGAACATCCACGTTGACACCCCCTCTTGCCGTTTTGCAGCTGAATTTCTTCAGCTACTGGACTGCTTTAACTTAAAACAACTTGTTGGTGTCCCCACACACACCAGGGGGCATTACCTTGGACCTGGTCATTACAAACTCTGCCCCTCTCACCAACCTGCAGGTGTATGATCTAGGTGTGTCTGATCACAAGGCCATTTCTATGGATTTGCCATCCCCATCCAGCCTTTCCAAGCCTAAGCGGAATATCTGTTTCAGAAATCTTAAAAACATAAACCAAGAACTCTTAGCAGCAGACTTTCAACATTTTTCCACACACTTTTGATCAGCCGACAAAGCAGTACTACAACAGCCATCTGAGCAGCCTCCTGGATATTCATGGCCCTGTTAAAACAGGAACAGTCACCTTCACCCGCTCACTACCCTGGTTCACAGATGGGCTTCGTAAGATGAAGGCACCAGGGCGGGTCCTTGAGCGGCGTTTCAAAGCCTCTGGCCTCACTGTCCACAAACAAATTTACCGGGAGCAAAAACAAAAATATGCACAATCCTTCAAAGAGGCAAGGTCACAGTTTTACTCCGATGCCATCAGAAACAACCCAGGAAATTCCAAGCAGCTTTTTTCCACTATAAACCACCTTCTTGAACCACAATCCCTCCCACTTACTGCCACTACAGAAGAGCAGTGCAATAAATTCATGGATTTCTTCACATCAAAAACTGCACATATTCGCTCTGCTCTTTCTGGTCCTCCCACCCAAACTGTTCCCCCAACTTATACCGTCTCCAAATCCCTGAACTGCTTTCCTGAGGTTTCATCAGAAGAGGTGCAGATCATCATCAGGAAGATGAAATCCTCTACCTGTCCCTTGGACCCTCTCCCAACATCCCTGTCCCCTGATCACCGCTGCTATAAATAATTCCCTCCAAACTGGTCACGTTCCCCCTGTCTTAAAAAATGCCATTATCACACCACGGCTTAAAAAACCCACTCTTGATCCGGAAGTCCTATCCAACTATAGGCCCATCTCCAATCTCCCCTTCATATCAAAAGTACTTGAGAAAGCAGTTGCCACCCACCTTCAGGACCCACCTCAAACATAATAACCGCTAGTAATTCCAGTCAGGTTTCCGCTTTGCCCACAGTTCAGATACTGCCCTAGTCAGAGTCCTCGACCTCCTCATATCATCTGATGCTGGCTCTCCATCCCTCCTCATCCTCCTTGACCTTTCTGCTGCATTTGATACTGTCGACCATGGCATTCTTTTAAACCGGCTCCACCTCACTACTGTACTAAATGACACTGCCCTCAGTTGGTTCAGATCATACCTCACAAACCAGACAGAATACATCTCCCTGGGCAACTCCAAATCAAATCCACACAGTTAGTTACTTGTGGTGTCCCCCAGGGGTCAGTCCTTGGCCCCATCCTCTACCTTACCCCCCTTGGCCAAATCATCAGCAAAATTTCATTCCACTGCTATGCCGATGACATACAGCTCTATATAAATGCCACAGCTGAAACCACACCCTCACAGTCATCCCCATCAAAACTCACCACCTGTCTGGAGGAGATAAAAAGGCATGGAACTCTGCAGCTAGGATCCTGATGAGTGTCCACTCACTCCACTGGCTTCTCATCTCCACCAGGATTGAGTACAAGGTTTCTCTCCTCACACATCAATGCATCCATGGACATGTCCCCCCCCCCACCTCAAAGAATTTATCAACCCACAAATCACAACCCGTTCCCTTTGCTCCACTCACTCAAACCTCCTCCACATACCCAGAACCAGACTCAGGACAATGGGAGATGGGGCATTTTGTTCTGCTGCCCCACATCTATGGAATGCCCTCCCTGACACCTTGAGGGCACCTCAATCCACTGACAGTTTTAAAAAAGGCCTTAAGCCATTTCTTTTTAGCAAAGCTTTTGGTCCCCTTTAGATGTTTTGTTTTCTAAAGAACTGCATTTTTGTTTTGTTTTTCTAACCTGTGGCACTTTGAGGTCTTTTGATGAAAAGTGCGTTATAAATAAAATGTATTAATAACAACAACAACAACAACAACAACAACCACCACCCTCTCATTTTTCACTGCCCTCTCCAGGCTCACAGCAGTGTGTTTAATGTTACGGAGGAGGCTACGCTGCTGACAGATGTGATTAAAGATTTATTTCTAAATGAATAAATGTAATAATAATGTATTTGTCAGCAGCTTAATAACGCCGTTCTGAGAGCCAACAAGTTGACAAAAAAATGTACACCCAACATCTCAGAGCCTGGAAAGTCACCTGCGCTACACCACCTAGCTTTTTTAAGCAATATCCGCATACAGACATTATAGGCAACCTGAAACTAATGTATGGTGTTCCTCTTAAACTTTGGCCACAGTGGTGCAGTATAGAGAGGACTGTAAAACAAGTCACATATAAACAGGGGAAAAGAGAGGCTACACATCCAGCCAACCAAACTAGACCTGAAGCAGCCGCAGGCTCCGTGAGTTAAATCAGCTGATGCGCCACAAAAGCCTTTAACTGATGTGATGGAACGCAGCGATCGATCAGTGACAAGTGATGTCAATAGAAAATAAAAATGTACAGAGAAGTGTTAAATGATACCAGAAGATGAAAGCAACAGAAAGCCAAGCTTGTGGTTTAAAACTTTTTTATACAGTCTATGGTGCAGGCGTGCTCTTCTCTTTCTTTCAGTGTGTTGCTTGCATGTTTGGCTGCAAGCAAAAACATAAAAATACAAATTTTTTGCCACGATCTGGCTACAAAAACGAGTATTGTACTCAATACTGGGCTGTTGCGGTCCATACCTTAAAGGAGACCTATTATGCTTTTCAACATTTTATGACTTATCTACAATTAAGGGGCGGCTGTGGCTCAGGAGGTAGAGCGGGTTGGCCGTTAGTCGGAAGGTCGGCGGTTCAATCCCTTAGGCAAGATACTGAACCCCGAATTGCCCCTGGCGGCTGTTCTGCTAGTGTATATGTGTTTCCGTTTGAGACTCAGTGTATGAATGTGTATGACTGGTGAATGCAGATGTAGTGTAGTCGAAAAGACTAGAAAGGCGCTATACAAGTACGGAGCATTTACATTTACAATGTTATAATGTTGGATGTTCATGTTAAACATGGCCAAAGTTTCACAAAATGAGGTTACAGCATTTATAAAAGGTAATGTAGCCACACAGCCTCAATATTATGGAAGGTAAGACTACCACACATCTTGCAACGTTGATGTTAACATAAGTATGTTATCAATGTATAAACATAAGTATATTAACATGTTTTTGTGACATATACACAGCTTCAGACCTGATGAAGTATCTTGTCAAATCTCTTAATAGTACAATGGAGCAAGGTAAGTTAATGGTGTCCAGGTACGTAAATGCAAAATGTAAGGTAAGATTTGGTAGGTGTACAATAAGTCTAATCACACTATCAACTGATATGAGGAACACGGTAGGTAAACATTAAGTGTAATATTAATGAATATTTTTAAATAAGATAAATGTGAAAGCTTTGAAATAATTACAAGTATATAAACTCATCAGTAAATATGTTTGGTCTCAGGTTGAAAATGCTGTATCCAGTGGGCTCACTGGCATTGCCTGCACAGATGAGCAGCGGCTCTGGAATGTGGGGACCCAGAGGAACCTCTGCCCAAAGCAGTTAATGGACATCATCTTTTCTCACCACCAAGCCACTGATGTGCTGCTGACATCAGAGGTAATGCCCAACCATTTACCTCTGCCGCCCACTCCTTCATTTTGCTCCCAGGATGAGCTGAGCTTATTAGTCGTGAGTCATGATAGCAGAGGATATTGGTGCTTTACATTATTACGTCATTCAGGGTGGAAATGTAAACATGATTCGTTTCGATTTCGTCAGTAGTCGATATAATGGTTACACTTAGACGCATGATTAACTTGTATATTTAAGAGCTGTGTTTAAAGGTGAATTATTATTATTATTCGGATTAATCTTTATTCTTAGATGAACTGCTCAAGGTTTTTAGATGTGATTTAATAACTCTTTGATCATGTGTTTAGTGTGAAGCAAAAATGCTGACGTTGTACATTTGGAATATTATTCAAATAAGGGGCTTGGATAGTAAATCACTGCATAGAAATTAATATTGAGCTGATGTCGTTTGTTTTGTTTTTTTCTTCTGGTTGCATTTAAAGGTTATCAACCTATCAAACTCCATTGATGTATGAATTACAACTGATACAAGATACTTTGTAAATAATATGCTGTAACAAGAATAATTAGGGTTTAGGTAACTGGGGTGGTATGTAGAGTGTGTAGGAGAAGACTGGAACTATTTTAAATGTATTAAATCAGTTGTGTTGAACGAGAGATAGTTGTGACTTCTTTTTAAGTAAATGTGTAATTTAAGATAAGTTGTTTAAAATTTGTTGTAAGAAGTTTGTTAGAGCTAGAGACATCTTCTACTGCCCTTTATGTACAGATAATATTTCATTATCATATGTAATAAACCAAGATGGAATTACTTTTTGAACTTGTTGACATGACTTGATCCTTCAAAATCAATTCTTAAGTTTTACAGTAAAACTACAGAGCTCACATTATATGGCTTTATAAGAAATAACAATTGACAGGTAACATCTGGTCGCAGTGTAAAGGTTTATAGAAAAACAACTTCTTATACTATTTACACTGATTAGTTAAAGCAAAAACAGCTAAATGCATCAACAGATGTGAAACGCACCTACAAATCAACAATCTCATTCATCCTCTACATCAGAAATGATGTCGCTTCTAAAATGGATAAAATCTTTTATCCATTTTAGTTTGAGATAGGATTTTGAAGTTTTTCAGTCGGCATATGACCCGCTCAACGTGGACACGAACATTGGCGATGCACCTAGTATTGGTGGTGTCTTCTTCAGAGTTGCATGCCTCTCATGGTGAATGCTGGAATGACAAGTTTGACCTCTCTTTCATAAAGGAGATCAGTGATGGTGAAGCCTCTGTCAGCCATTACTTCATCGCCAAAGGTGGTTGTTTCATTGTTGCGTTATGTACAATGGAGCTGGTTCAATGCATTGTGTTCCCATGTCAGAGGCTTCAGACTGAGTTGTGATTTAAAGCGTAGCTGTTGTCTGAGACAGGTGGATCCTCCCAGTGTGTTTCTGCATCACAGTTCAGAGGCTTCTGGATGTGGTCACCCTCACAGTTCTCCACTTCCTCGCTGATGCTCATCGATGCATCTGTGGAAATAACATAACCATAAATACATATTTTACATTAGTATTTAAAATACATAATGAGAATTAATATATAATGGCAACTATAATTATACAGAACAGTGTGTGACAGAGAGATGCATTAAAAACAAAACAATATACAAAAAATATCTCTAATTTTAGCATTAATACAAAGGTCAAAATCTGAATGAGAGATGTAGATAGCTGGCGTGCAAGCATCTGCAATCTCTCCAACTCCCAAGAATAATGTGAGCTATTGTAAGATTGTAATGAAGGAGCTCACATTATCATTTTAAATATGAAATATTTAGGTGGACAATAATAATCATGCACGATTCATTGTATTTTATTAACTGCTCGTTACTGTTCTGTAAATGTATTTATAGAACGGACTTCACAAATCTAACAAGCACATAGCTAGCTAAGTTAGCTTACCTGAATCTTTAGCGGGGTATCGTGGCCGAGCCATTTCTCAGGGTAAGGGTGTTCATCGGTCGGCTTCCCGTCCATAAAATGGTACGAACACACATATGGGCGCTTGGGTGGACACTTCAAGTTTAGCGCCTTCAGCCTGAGGTGCTCCTCCTCTTTAGGTGGTGGGTACAAACTGTAAAGTGCGCCTCAACACTCCGACCGCTTCACGTTGTGTTCATAACATCGTTGCTGCAACTGTTCTCTCCTCTTGATCTAATTGTTATGGCAGCCCCTAACCGAACAATTAATACTTGACATAACGTATTTTCTTCGTCTATTGTTACGGCTATACAGTGGTGGCTAGTAGCTAGCACGGGTTCCTCTCAGCAAGTAGGATGACAAAATGAACGCAATGGCGTCACCCTTGTTGCCGTGGGAAATAAGGTGAATAAGAACAAAAAAAGTTTTTAAACTTTGAATGGTGCAATGCTGCTATACAGGAGTCACAGAACTAAAATATTGGACTGGAAAAGCAGTTTAATAGGTCTCCTTTAAAGCAGCGATTTCCAAAGTGTGGTGCGTGCACCCCTCGGTTTCCGTGAGCAGCCTCTAAGGGGGGCGTGGCAGGAAAAATGTAATGGTGGTGTAGGCTAGGAAATATAGTGTAATAACTACAAATAAAATATTATGAATAATTAGCTCACAGTAAATGGCTGGTCACACAGCTCTCTCGCTCTCCAGGCTGAGCCACCTGAACTGTACTTGCAAATCCTCATAAGGATCCTCTTTCTCTCCATCTTATCTGTTTGAGGCTGTAACACGGGGGTGTTTTTAATGTTTTTTGGCCATGAAAATGATTCCCCCCAAACCTCTGCATGGTTCGGCACGCGGGTGAACTGTGGATTGATTGCAAAGTTTAAGAATCATAGTATGAGAAAAAGTTTTACTGCCACTGTTATTTTTTAAAGTAATAAATATATAACGTTACACTGCGATGCAGAGTTGCAGTGAAAAGACAGAGAAGATGGATGCATGCTGTGTTTAAGCGCAGTGAGAGTGTAGAGGGAGAGTGACTGATTTAAAAGCTGTCACTTTCAAGAGTGTCGCTGAGTGAAACCCAGTAGCTGTGATATCTGCCTTTTCACAGAAACACAAATCCGCTGCTCACTGGAGCAAAGGGTTGACAGGCTGTAAATAAACACGTAAAAAGAATAAAACTTTTAATAAATGTTTTTTTTTAAATGTAACCCTAACCCTGGTTCGTCAGTCTGCAGTTTGTACTTACAAATAATACCATTAAAGTCATGCCAATGATAAATTGTTGTGTAATTGCAGCTGTTTGACTTTAAAACCTGCAGCTCATGTTCGTTCCTGTCTCAGGTCATTCAGAGAATAATAACGCAGGCAGACTGTTTGTCACTGTGATAAACTCACCAACACACGAGGAAATATAATGACTGCTTCACTTTTCACCAGCATTGTTTCTGCTGCGCGCTCCCGACACAACACAGGCTGCACCGCGCATGCGCCGCGCGGAAAACTCCCAGAACAAAGAAAAGAGAAACGCTCGTGAGTTTTTCTTTCAGCTTCCTCTCTTCAAGATGAAAACAGGAATCACGGAGACACTTTGGAAATCAAACCACGTCAACACAAACCCTGGAGCGGGTTTTCAGGCTCTGATCTCTAACAACAGAATGAACGGATGATACACGGACCCTCGAGACTCTTCCTCGTGTCTTTAGTCTCGTGATGAAGTCATGAACACTGACCTGAACATCGGTGCTATCAGAGCACGAGGCTGCTGTTTGGCTCCTGTGGTCCGGGTTCTGGTTCTCCATCGTCCTGCAGGTCTGTGACTGGTGGACCGTGTTGTCCTGGACTGAGTCTGGATTCTGGTCTCGGAGCACTTCCGGATCCCGCGGAGCCTCCGCGTTCTCGCTGTGACGGCGCCCCGCCCCTTAGTTACTGTCGCTAAGGCCGTTTAGAAACATGGCTCCTTGATTTCAGGCAGAAGATGAAGTTTAGTTAGTTGGTTTCCTGAAACCAGCTGATCATATTTGATGTGTATGAGGGAGTGTGCTTCACACAGAGCAGAGTTTTAATGAAGCGCTTGTTATTATCACATCAGAGGCTCATGAAAATATCCTGCTGAAGCTTTTTGTACATCGTGTTTTTACACAAAGAAAGAAATGACTTCATGTGTCATATTTAATGTTGAATTTACAAGAAGGCAGAATCATTAAGAGTTTGTCGTAGACAGCGTTTCACAAAGTTTCTAAAGTGTCCTCTAACTCAACAAGTCACTAAACTGCAGGATTGTTGAAGGGAGTCTGGGACTTTCTCCCCGGGCCACAAAGGAGTAGCTATATTACGGTTACTGTTTAAATGGTGAAATCAGATGAAACAGACAGTTTGTTCACAAACATCTGCTGCTTCTCTCGGCAGCTAAGAGAGTCCAAACACATCATTAACATCACAGTGAAGCTGTTTGTTCACTTAACGGGCCATCGTGTGTTTGTCCAGGTCGGCTCTCTATTCAAATGGGGATCAGCTGCTTGAAAAGGCGACTGATGCGCATTTTCACCTCTCTTCAGAGGCCTGTACCACAAAGCAGGATTTCAGCTTATCTAGGTAACTCCGGGGTTAACTCTGGGTTTTCAGAACCACGAAGGTGGTTCACTTCTTACCAGAGTAGATCTCCATGGTAACTGATGCTGAACGGCTAACTTGCTCCGGAGCAGGTTATGTTCCAGATAAGAGATCAACTTTGTGAAAACGTCGCCTACTGACCAATCAGCTCTCCTGGAAAATGACATCACCATCTGTAGGAGATCCCACAGACTGTTTTAACCAATAGGCTGCTTTATGTTTGCAGCGGTGATGTGAAGAAACTCTTGACTATAGCGATATAATCCTTCAGAGACTGATTAAAAGCCTTAGGCTATTGTTGCCTACAGGTTTTTTACATACAGCTAGATAAGCCTACTTACTGCTTTGAAATGTGTTTTAATATTTTTTTATTTGCTCCTAGTTCATTTCACACAGCCTGACGCAGACGTTAAAATAAATAGGTTTTATTTTTCTTATGTGAGGCTGAATATTTTGAGCAGTTTGGTAGGGATATTGAAATACTAAATTTTAATATGAACGTAGGCTATTTATTTTAGGTTAGTATAGCTTTCTTAGGCCAACTACAGAGACTGTAGTCATGTCCCCCCCCTGCGATTTTCTGTCTCCCTGCATGTGTCAGATTCAGGCGTGCTACTGTTGTATTTCTGTAGTGTTACAGTTTAATCCTCGTTCATAAAATATGACCCTCTGCTGACAGTGGACTTGTTCATGTCTGCGTTTGGTCATCTGCTGCTAACACCGCCGCTTTTATGTTAACGAGCTCCCGGCTGGATTGGGAAACCCTGGGTTGACTTACCGAGTTGATAACCAGCTTTGTGGTGCCGCTTATCCCGATCGTGATTGTTAGGGTTAGTTAAGCCAGATAACAAAAACATACCCTGGGTATGTTGAACTCGCTTCGTGGTGCAGGCCCCAGGTGATCAGCTTGAATAGGAGGCAGAGAGCTGAACATGTGGACATCAGTTGGCTATTCAGCTGCATTAATGAGCAGCCCAAACAGATGCAAACACAACTGAAGGAAAACGGTGTGTTGTGAATGTAGCCTGCAAACCTCTTTAGTCTCCGTTAATACAGAAGAAATTAGAAATATAACAACATGTTAATGTGATGCTGCAGACACACATTTCACAACACTGAGACTCTCCACTCGGTCCCAGCAAAAGTCAGTGGGGACTAAACTGTGGATCACTTTTCATTGCTTTGACACAAAATGCATTTAATGACCACATCTTTCAGTTCATCATCTGTTTTATCAGACAAACTCTATGTATTTACATTTTATTTTACTTTTGTAAAACCTGATAAATTTATATTCAAACCAAACAAAACACACATTATTGTAAATTAGACTGATTGTTTGCAACATGTATCTACACCTGAAAAATAAAAATGCATAAACTCCTCTTTGGCTCGTACAACAGCGAGCCTCTCATTTCACTCCTTGATGACCTCTATGAAAGACTTGGGGCAGCACTGAAGAGCTGGAACAAGTTGGACACAATAAATATGAGTAGTTTTTGTTTCTTCAGCTTCAAGGTCATTAAGGTCAAATGTAAAATGCTGTTAAAATCTGTGAATAAGATCTATTGACAACAAGACGGGCAGCAAACATTATTGAAGCTCCAGCAGCTGCTGGATGTCTTCCATCCTGTCCAAACCATGGCCTAAACACAGAACCAGGACTCTGCAGTGGACTGTGGGCCGTCACACACTAAGTGCGTTCGAGATGACTGCGGCTGATTTTTGCCGACTTGATAGTCCAACGTGAGCTGCAGGTGACAGTAGGGGCGGGGTATGAAACGGCGCCGTTAAGTTGCCCATTCTACCTGCATCAGCTTACTGTGAGCGCTCCTCTCAAAACTTCCAGGTAATTGTCATGTAACTTGCAATACAAATCTTTATCTTCTTCATAAATTTGAACTGTCATGCTATTACTCAAATTTAGACACGACAAGATGTATTGCGGGTCGGCTAGGTGATGCAAACCCTGGTTGCCCCAGCTACATTTACTACACTGCTGTACTCAAGTTCAACACAGGTATTTGTACTTTATTCTTATCTTTTACTTCACAACACAGAGGGAAATATTTGACTTTTTTTTCACTCCATTTATCTGACAGCTTTAATTACTTTACAAATTAAGATTTTTAAACACAAACACATGAAGAGTTCATAAAATATGATGTTTTGTTATGAATTAAGCTACCCAGCAGTTTAAACAAGTACAACTGAAACTATTTTATTGAATTAGTTGAGTGACAGAATAATAATCATTGACTATTTTAAGTCATTTTTCCTGTAAAAATATTTCATGGTTCAGCTTCTTACACAGGAAGATTTGCTGCTTTTCCTTTTAATTATTTACTAATGTTTAATATATTATTTATAACAAATTACCATAATCACCATCATTGTCCCTACCCATCACTTTGTGTTGAAAAGTGGTTGGGACATTTAAGGGCTCGGATTAGGGGTGTGAAAAAACTTAGACCATGAGGGGTGACATTGCACAAATTCATTAGAATAAGACAAGAAAATATTTTAATACCATTTAGAAAAGAAACACAAAAATCAGATGACAGGTTACAATTATCAGAATATAAAAAATATTGCAGAATTCAATAGAGTAATAAATAGCTTATTACGTTTGGACAACACAGATCTTTCTTCTATTTTTACATGCCTGCATTGCATGTTTATTTATTGCGCAAATAAATCTTTTTCATAGGTGGGTGCAGTTTTTTAAAACGTTTTTAACAAATGCCTTCAAAAAGTGATGGGGACATATCTCCAGCATCCCCAGTGTAAATGACACCTATAACCGTAACTCCCTCTGCTCGCTGTTCAGCAACTCCATGCTCACAACCTCACCTTCACTCTCCTCCTGCTGTCTCACTCTTGCTCTTTTTACCAGAACAAAAAAAGACAATGAAATATTTCTTAATGACAGAAATTCTATCTATTATTTTCTCACATAATGATCATTATGAAATAAATAAAATAAAAAAAACACCTTCCTGTCTGTACTGGATGCTGGACAGCAGCTTACCTTTCAATCTGGATTAAAATAATTCAGTCTGATACGTTCATTTAGATTGAATTATGGCCGTTAAATGACATCTATAGATACAGACTTTATCATTCCCATCATGAAGGGCAATTTATTTGAGAAGCAAATAGTGACCTGCATCCTGTATGCAGACTTGCATGTACAAATCACCAGCAGTAAATATTGTGCGAGGACTAATATTGAACTACAAGAAGCCAGATACTTGCAAGCCTTTAATTAGTGTTATGTAAAGCTTTTGATGGGACATTTAAGTCCTAGAGAACTAGTGACAGCTATGTGCAGAGGGGGTCCAATTTGATTTTGTTGTCATGGGGCCCAAAATTCCTGGCGGCCCCCCCTGAAGATTTTGCAAGTGCAAGTTGCGCATACACTGAGGGCTAAGCCCCCCTGCCTTTCAACCCTAGTGAATTCCCTGCGTAAATCATTCATTTATATAAACAACCTTGACCCATAAAGAACTGAGAGTGGCCCATTGGGTAATTTCTATACTGACACTGGGCCGGCCCCGTCACAGCCTTACTAGCCCTAACTGTTTCATGCCTTCACCGTTTTAGTCTGGACGGGAGGTGCAAACGTTGCAAAAGGTCTCTTTTAAAATGAAAACACAGTTGTGTGCATGGGGCCTTAGATCATTTGCAGGTCCAAAGAATGCTATTCAAGTACAGTATTTACTGTGACTGCACTGTATATTGGTTCAACCAGAGTGTGATTTTGCTCTGTAGTTTGGCTGCATACAAACATACATACTAAGCTGTTGATAAGGATCCTATTTAAAGTGCCTGCTGTCTGAATTTAATAACCTGATAGTGGAAGGAATAAAAGATTTGGAGGATGATTACTATGGATGCATGTATGTATGATTGCTTTTATTTTATTTTATTTTCCTGTGTGTGCATCTGTGGGTATATGCTCATGTATATCCTAGCCTTTTAGGCAACATCTGCATATTTATTTAATTTATTATAGCCAATAAATGCAGAAAGTTTAGTTAGTCAGAATAAAGCAAATATAATAAATATCATGAAATAATTTAATTTAGGTTCTGCCTTGGTGCCTAGACCAGGCAACAGATGCCTGACAACAAAACAGCCCACATTACCTTAGAACTGTAGAGTACCACTGACCTGTAGACCACTGCAGACCTGTAGACCACTAACTTCACTAACAGAATCAGCTGCCCTGCCAATCTCCTGCTTCTCGCGCTCCTAAAATATCTTTGGGGGTGTAATTGCAGACTGATGGACACACGGATGTACAAGTATAAATGCTGGCTACGACCCTACGCAGGAGGATAAATCAAGCTTTAGCCCTGTAGGCAAACTGCAGGGGGACCAGCAAGGGGCCTGTAATGTCCTTAAGGTGAGCAAACACTAGTCTTTCAAAGGACTTCATGACTACAGATGTCAGGGCGACAGGCCTGTTGTCATTTTTCTCTAAGAATTTACCTCTTTGATGCTGTATGTTCTAATAGCTCTTACTAGTATTTATTGTCACTTTTATAAAATACTGCATTGATGCTTCATTTATGCTTGTCTGTTGTTTCTCAAATCTAAGTCGCTTTGGATAAAAGCGTCTGCTAATTGAGTAAATGTAAATACACAATTACATCGAAACAAACAATGCACAGTCCTATACTGACACCTGCTGGTAGAAAGGGGAAACAGCTTGGTTCATTTCTTTGGAAACCACATTAAATATGAATTTAATATTAAAAATATAGCACTGACAGTAACAACTCTGCATCCACATTAATTTCTTGGGTTAACCTATATTAACCTACAAACTGTACTGCATCAAAAAATGCACTTAAAAAAACGTGACTCTTGCTGTTTGAATAAATGCGCAATATTATAGTGCATCATCAACTACTGTTACTAACTTATTTCTCTCGGTCCAGGTTTATTTATTTATTTTCATCTAAAATCACCCTGGTATAACGTTAGTGCTGCATAATGTTACAGATCTGACCGTTTTACAGACTTGGCTTTTATTTTAACATGTTGTTTACCATTACTTCCAGGTCACCTGGCTCACCTGTCTTTCTTTTGTTAACATCTATCTTCAAACGGAGAAATAAAAATAGGAATTTCAAAAAACCAAAATCGGACCGTTATCTGAATTACTTGTTTTTCTCGTTTCTTCGTTTTTGGTTCGACACCACAAACAAAAAAAAGGTGGTTTTCTCATTTGTTCATTTCATTGTTCAAACGAAAAAACAAACTATCAGAACGTACACGGACCCATGGTATGAACAAAGTGATGTGGGGCTAACTGTGTTTAGAGTATTGGAAATGTGACTACAGATTGGACTAAAGGTTGTGGCATCCACACTAACACTAGTGTTTTATAGCAAACTAAAATAGCTTCCTTCCTTTACCTCAAGTAAACATTCCTTAAGTTCAGCAACAACTTGTCCGTCTGTGTCTCAATATTCTTGCTTGTCTTTGTTGAGTAGATGTCTGCACTATAATAAAAAAATCTAATAAGTGTTTTTCTTATTATTTAGTGGGGCTTAGGACCATGTTAGGGCACACCAGCCCCAAAGGTTTGTCGGTCCACCGGGCATTTGTCCGTTATGCCAGATTACCAGGCCACTCCTGCCAGTGGCAGACTTGTGACTGTCAGTGAGCAGCCTGTAGCTCTGATCACAGTCAGCAACTTCCACTAACACTAGAGACAAGCACACAACAGGAAGCTGGACAGACAAATGTCTCCACACAACAAGATGATATCAGTGAGTAAGTGTGACGTGTAACCCTTTCTAATATTCCTGATACTAATATTCCTCCAGAAGTGTAAAAGGGAAGAACAGCAGCAGCAGAGTCTCTGAACGTGTTCATGATGATTCAGCAAATGAAAATGATTCCATGTGTGTGGAATCCAAATCAGAAATGAATCATAAAAACTCTGCCACTCTGTCTGCTTCCTCTTCTTCGATCAAAAGGCTTCTCTCTTCTTCCTCTTGTTGTTTCCTACTTCATCTCAGCTCCTTCAGGAGAGCTATCTGTCTTCTTCTTCATTCTCTAATCTCAGTCTGCTGTCACACTTCATATACTTCACAAACAAACCACATGTAGGATCTTTTTCTCCATCTTTATTACTCCCTCACATCTGGGGCCTGAATCCCGAAGTTGGTTTAGCTGAGTCTGGGTCTCTCTGGGTGATCTGGTCTCACTGAGTGAAACAATGGCCGTCCTGGATAACCAGTATCATGAAGTTGCTTAAGGACTGGCTCTGTTATCTCTGGATTTTCCATCTAGCTCTAAAAGTGTTGATGTGAAACAGGACGAGTTGGTAGTTACAACATCATCACAACCATGAAGGAAGAGCTTCATCTGAGACCTGCTGAATATATATTAGATTTCAGACAGATTATTGGACAGATGGTACAGGAAGCTTTCAGCTGACATGTGAGACAATAAGACTTTAAAACAGAAACAGTATCTGAGATTAAATTCAGGTCCATGCAGGTTCCAGTAAAGACACTAGTCATAGTCTTCTGAAGCCAACAGGGTTTTAGTGACTGTACACGTCAGTTTAACAGAGGTGGTTCAGTGCTGGATTGTTTCTGATTTCTCTTCAGTCTTTTCTCTAAATGTTTAAATGTTGGAATGAACACTTTGTTCTATTTTATACAAAAAGAAAGAAATCAGATGTGATGTCACAGATTACTGTTTGTTGAGTTAGTTACTAAAACTACAGATGAAACGAGTCACGGCTCAATAAGACCTGATGTCGATGAAATTGAACTGTGAGTATTATTTAAGAAAAGGCCTTTTCAGAGTTGAAGGGAAAGGAGGAAATATTCTAAACATCATCATTAAAGATCAATGGAAATGTGTGGTAAGAGCCAATTATTGGTACAAACAGATGAACAATAATAAAACAGTCAAGCAAAATGTCAGAGAAAAGATGGAGAAAAAACGTCTTGTCAGTCGTATTAAGATGTTCACCAGTCTTGTTTCAAAGTTTTAACACTAATTTAAAAAGCTTACAAACAACAGTTGACGAAGCAGCCATTAATACTTTTTTTATATACCAAATTCAATTACAAAAACATTTGATATAGTCTGAACAGATTGAACCAGGTCCCAACGTGCAACACAGCGTGAAATAACTTTTTATTCCCTTTAGCAAAAATGCATCCTAGACTAATGTCTTACACAGTGGTTTGTTATATTAACTAATGGTAAGAATAAAAGCAGGCAAATAAGACATTTAATGCTACAGAATAATTGTGGAGTCTACAAGAACAGCCTTCCTCAGCCTCGAGCCACAGTGGAAACTTTTTGTCACAGGAAAGCATGAAACAAACCAATCTCACACAAGGTCATTATCAAAACACTGGCACACTTACTTGAAATTATACCACCACGTAAGATGAGCAAAGTACATAAAATAATGACATATAGGGGATTATTAAAAGTACATGTAGGTAAAATCAATAACTAAGTATCAGTACATCAATGAATGCTCTCACCTTACTGTTTAAGCAGAAACATCATTAGACAAAAGAAATTAGACATGCTTCATGACAGCGACTTAAAAAAAAACAATCACCACATCTGTTTGTTCCCGCTTTCTCTTTCTCCAGCAGCCTTCCTCTGTGCTTGCTGTAGATGCGCCCACTACATTTACATTTATTCCTTTAGATGATGCTTTTATCCAAGGCGATAAAATGGGTCCTCATGGGTGCACATCAGTTAAAAACAGGACAGTGATTATCTGTCTCTCAGTCAATGTTTAGTTAAAACTCTGTACTAATGCAAGATGGAAAACAGGGATTGACATTGACTATGTTGATTAGTAGGGCAGACTGGGACTAGACATATCTCAGCTAATAAGCATGACATATTCAGTTAAGTCTAAGTATAAATAGTATTTTACATTTGAAACTGAATTAAAGGAGACTGAGTTTGAATGAAGCCTGATGCAGCTGATGACATTAATATATATATATATATATATATATATATATATATAGTATTGTTTTCTGTAATTTACAGGGGCCATGCTTAGCTTTGTCAGCAGAGTAAATGTTGGCCAGTAAGAGTACTATTGATCCACAGCCAGCCTCAGCCAGTACAAGCACAGTCAGTGATGTACAGACCTTAATGGAACAGTTGCTGCTTTAGATTGCCCCCCCTCCCCAATCTCAACAGACTTAATGAGGACCGAGTTAGTGCACAGCGGTCCATTCAAAGCAGCACTGGATTGTTTCTAGGAGGGGTTTACATTCAGGCTTATTACAGAGACAGCATGAGCAGGAGGCTGGAGGAAATAACTTGCTTCGCTCTGAAAAAATTTCAAAACTAAGCAGTGTGACTGCATTGGTGGAGTTTAAGGCTACTACCATTAGTAAAGTTTTTCCCACATGTTTTACATGAGTACTGTTTCTCTTTGGTGTGAACACATCTGTGTTTGTTTAGGCCACCTGATGAAGTGAAAGTTTTCCCACATTGGTCACACCAGTACGGTTTCTCTCCAGTGTGAACACGTCTGTGTACAATAACGTCACTGGATTTTGTGAAACTTTTCCCACACTGCTCACAGCTGTACGGTTTCTCTCCAGTGTGAACACGTTGGTGAGTTTTTAGAGCATCTGATTGACTGAAAGCTTTCCCACATCCGTCACACCAGTACGGTTTCTCTCCAGTGTGAACACGGCTGTGTACTAATAGGTCACCTGATGTAGTGAAAGCTTTCCCACACTGTCCACAGCTGTACGGTTTCTCTCCAGTGTGAACACGTTGGTGTTTTTTTAGGGCACCTGATGTAGTGAAAGCTTTCCCACATTGTTCACACCAGTGCGGTTTCTCGCCAGTGTGAATATGTCCGTGTGTTTTCAGCTGATCTGATCGAGAGAAACTTTTCCCACACTGTCCACAGCTGTACGGTTTCTCTCCAGTGTGAATACGTCTGTGTGTTTTTAGGTGACTTGATTGACAGAAACTTTTCCCACACTGTCCACAGCTGTACGGTTTCTCTCCAGTGTGAATACGTAGGTGTTTTTTTAGGGCACCTGATGTAATGAAAGCTTTCCCACAATGTTCACAGCTGTATGGTTTCTCTCCAGTGTGAACACGTTGGTGGGCTTTTAGAATATCTGATCTAGTGAAAGCGTTCTCACATTGGTCACAGCTGTACGGTTTCTCTCCTGTGTGACCTCTCTGATGACTCCTTAAATGTCCAGATGTTGTGAAGGATTTGTCACAGAGCTGACAGTAGTGACGTTTGAGTCCCTCTCTTCCTCTCCGTTTCTATAGCAACAGACAGATATACAGAGAGAAAGACAGTAAGTGATATGTCATGTTGGCAAGTGCTACCTAGAAGCAGCTGACACTAAATGAGACCAGTGTAAATCTGTTTCCATCACAACACCGAAAGTCATTCATGCCAATTTTTACGAAGATAAAGTTGCTGTTTGTGCAATTTTTTGACGCAATTATAATACATCTTGTGGTCTCTAATTTTGAGTAATAGCATGACAGCTTACATTTAGGAAGAAGGTAAAGATTTGTATTGCAAATCACATGACAATTACCTGGACGTTTTGAGAGGAGCGCTAGAGAGGAGACAGAGCAGTGAACTTTTACGTGCCAGTCTGTTATTGTTATGACAGAAAACTGTGTCCTCTTACATATAATCCTTTATGTATGATCTTTTATGTATGATCTTTTAATATTATTATTATATTATTATTATTATTATTACTTATTACTACTTACTTAGTAATTACTACTATTATTATTACTACTAACCCCTTATGTCTGTCCACATTTACTAGGGTTTAGGTCAGAGCTGTGAGATTATTTTGGTGTTTTCCTCTCTTGTTGTTCCTCTCCTCGAATGTTCATTCAAGGCAAATAAATTCTTCGAAGACAACGGTTGGTTGTAACTCAATTATTTGCTCAACCCCACCAGGAATATAATTTCCACGACATTCTACAGCTGCTCTACCAGGCAAACAGTTATAATGATTAATGATGAATTACCTTATTAAGTACAGTTAAATGTTGTTTACAAGTGAATGTGAGAAACGCTGTATTGTTCTGCATAAGAAATAAGAGAATATATGAATGTTGTTTTAATTTGGGGGGGGGCTTTGTTATCTTATGGTGTCCCATGCTACTTCAGACTAACAGGAAGTTGGCCATTTTGAATTTTATGGCCATTTTTGGATGATTTATACACTTTGTACTTTAACGAACTCCTCCTAGGCATTTAGTCCGATCGACTGCAAATCTCCGCAGGGGGATTGGGAGCCTTTCACGCAGCCATGTGTGTAGTGGCACTATAGTAACTTTTCGTTAACCAACCAATCACAGCCTGGAGGAGGCGGGAAGTTACAAAAAGGTTTAGGCACTACAGCAAACTTTAGAAATGTTTAATTCGTTTTTCTGTATGCACAGTTTTGTTTTGTATTTCAGACAAGTTGAATTTCATAAACAAATGAGACACTGACAACCATGTAGAGCAATTTTCTTACACACAATAATTTAGTGAATGGAAACAATCCACAGAAACTAGGCTACTAATGGTAAGCTGTACTATTATCTGAAATTATAATGAATACACAAACATTAGCACTAATCAAACCTTAACCACAATGGTGTAGGCCAGTGATCACTAATAGGCGGACCGCGGTCCGGATCCGCACCCAGCCACCGTCCTCTCCGGACCACCGACCTACAGCAGATTTATTATTGAGACTTACTACCTCGTGACGGAGCGTTTCTATTTTAACCCGCAGCTTTTCTAGAATTTACTGTACTGGTTTAGCAGACCAGGAAACTCACAGACCAATCGCGTGTGCTTCAATCGTCTCATGTGACGCTGCTCAGCCAATAAAATGTGTGCAATTTCGATGCTTGCAAGTTGAGTCCGCGAGATTCACCAGAGACGTTTTGGAGAACACACGAATTGGAGAGACGAAAGGAAAGACGAAAAGAGATTTCATATGGCTTTTAATCAAGAATATACAGATTTTTATGTGTACATTCCTCCCACGGGCAGTTCAGAACCAGATTATCTCATAGATCTCCAATCCTAGCTGGCAGGACAAGCTAGAGCTCACGTTTCTCACCGAACAAGAGAAGGTAGGGAGGAGGCATTACAGCTGTTCATTTGTTATGATGTGTTGAGTGTTTATTATAAAATTGTTTAAGACCACAATTCATCAGTTCAAGCTACACTTTTTATTTAATTTTTTTTCAAAAAATTTGGCACTTTATTATAGTTTACTTAAATTTAGAATTTATTATTAGAGTAGTTATTATTTATTATCCCTCCAGTTTGATGTGAAAACTGACATCAAATGAAACATGAAATATAATTTGATTTGACAGTCCGTTGTTGACTAAAAACATATCTTGATACAACTATACGTTATGGTACTAAATGATAACGCAAGTTAGTCGTTTTGATGTTCCGGACCTTTGCTTCGGGCAATTTTCTCTATCTGGACCTCTTTGAATTATAATTGAATACCCCTGGTGTAGGCTAATATCAGAAAACGGTTTTATTTGTGAAACAGCTAAATGTCTACCAACTATCTGTAGGCAGATTATCCAAATAAAGTGTAACCTGTAAATACAATACTGTAAATACAAACATTATACTTTCTATTTAATGTTATATAATATATATTGTGTTTATCAAATGGTCAGAAATAAGGGTAATTAGGTAAGTCATTGCCTTTACTGAACTGTTGCGCAAGTCACCCGCCAAAGGCCCATTCTGAGCCAGGAAAAACCTTGTTAGCCTTAAAGCCAACTGGTTGTCTGTGGTATCAATATACTCAAACGATCTAATAAAATCCTTTATTGGACTTTGGATAACACACTGGCTAGTGTGATTGGCCTATAATTATCCACACTTCCAACACTGCCAGCCTCGTCTTTAATGACAGGCACAACCTTGAGTCTGGAAATATTCCATGGGTCACAAAAACATTAAAACAAAAAGACAAGAAGGGCTACAACCTTTGAGCTTGTATACTTAAGTTGCCCTACTGCTAATCGATCTGAGCCACTTGCTTTATATTATTATTATTAGATAGCTGAGGTATTGCTTGATGGTTATGATTCCAAACGTGTCCCTGTTGGAAATATTTAATAATAAAGCTTTTCCTCCACAACTCTGCTATATTAGAGCCTCTTAGTTGTTCATTATTTTTCATTATTCATATACATGTTTAAGAGGGCTGGAGAGAATAACCCAATAACCCCCCGTGTCATACTCAGTTACTAACGGCAAAGGGAGCAGAGACTATTGCCCCATCTGACAAGCATACTCTGGCTGTCATACCAGTATGCTAAGATTCTTATCATGCTTTCAGGCACGCCATGCTTTGAGGCACGCCTGAAACACTTCCGGGGTGTCGCCTACAAAAAGTTCAAATAATTCAACTTCGGCAACAGGCAGCGTGTGCGTGAGTCGAGCACTTCACTAACAGGGACATTTGCTACTGAACCGTTTCTGCTGCTCGCTGATAAGAAAATTGTTTCTGCTGACACCTGGAAAAAACCCTAAAGGTGTGTTCACACTGAAAGTGAATTTAATATTCGCTTCACTTTACTCACGTGAGTTTGACCGCTGGACATTTTTAGTGTTCACACACAAGGCATTTTAAACGAATAACACAGCCCTCGGATACTACAGCTATATGAACTCAAAGTAAACCCTTTGCTGCAATTTATTTGCGATAAAAAGATCAAACTGATGCTGAAATAACTACAATTTGATGTAGATTTGTTAAACAGATGAATTCATGCTTTGTCAGGTCTGTCAGCAGCTCTGTCAGCCAGTGGATTGTCATTACACCGCTCGCCTGGTCCTCTCCAAACAACGCTCCGAAGCCGCCGGTGATGCTTGGACAATCTCACCACTGAAAAGTTTTCACAAGATTGCATCGAGGGAATTTCTCACCCAAGTTGAAAAACTCACGCAAACCAGTGAATTTCACGACTAACGCCTCTTTTCTCTTTTGCGCTGCCCAGAGCGAATTTGCGTCTTTGCATTGACTTGAATATAATCAAGCCACCCAAAACCCTGAATTCGCTTTCAGTGTGAACACACCTTAAGAAAACTAGACTCTGACGGTAACTTGTTTTAACAAGCTAGCAAACTTATTTATTTAAAGTGTTTGCACACCATATGTTATTGTACTTTTGAGTATATAGCAGTACATTTAAATACCAAGTGCGCAATACACTACCTTACAATTCATTAGGGCTGCAGTTAATGACTATTTTCGTGGGCTACTAATCTGTCAATTATTTATTTGATTAGTTGACTAGTAACAATTATTTGTCACCCCCTCAACCTAACGTTAACCATTTAACTAATTAAATATCTTTCAAGTGAATTACTGATCTCCAACACACAGTCTAACTAACGTTATCATTAAGTGAATGAAGTTTACTATTCAGAATTAAAACCAGTATCAATACCAGGGGGAAACCAGGGAAGACGGCAAGACAGCGTAGGCTAACTTTAAAACTTTTAACAAAGATTTGCGCTTTGGAACTATATAAAATAAAAGCAAATTAAAAGCAAGTACTATAACCACAACTGTACACTAACAATGTTTTTTAGAACAATAAAGCAACAGCCCGCTTTCACACTGTATCATTCTGTAGTTTATTTTTGCTTATGGGTTTTAGGCAATAACTTAGTGGAGAATGCTCTGTAGGCTGCATCACGAGCCAGATGTTCCTTGATGTACTTTAAACCATTACTAATACTTTTTAAAGCTGGTCTCCGACATTGCCAGCGTTGTGTTGGACAGATTTGTGCTGTGGTGTTCATGAGAGACAACTCCACTATATTATCGGCTCAGAAACTCCCTTTATAGTGCATGGTAAAGTACTGCCCTTATTCAGGGATCTCACCTCCTTCCAAAAGCAAAATGTTATTATTACAAAGTAGGTTTTCAGCCATAGAGTCCGCTCTCATGTAGGGCTAAAACGATTAGTTGACATAATCAACGATGTTTACTATAAAAAATTGTCGACATGAAAATTTCATTGTCACTGCATCGTTACAGAGAGGCTGGTTTTATGCTCATTTTCAGGTTCCAAATCCTATTCAGGGGTTGTACCAGAACATGTTTACATGGAATAATTAAAAAAAACAAACATATTTTTTGTCATACTACATATTGCTGCAGCTCCTCTTTTCACCCTGTATTGCAGGCTTAGCTTTAGCTATGAAGTGATACATCTTGTCTCTAAATGATCTTTGTTGGGAGTTACACATGCGCAGTTAAGGACAACTAGCCAATCAGAAGCAGAGAAAGGCGGGTCCGCAAAAAGACGGTAAACAGCATCGATTCAGCTGTAGGCTACATGATGCGGACCAGCTTGATAGGGTTAACCTCCATTGTGTTGCGACGGCCGATTTTGGTAATCTACACAAATCTACACTTTCTCAGAAGTGTATTTCTGCTAAGTTCTGCTGTTGGCCTCTAAAGATAAAACGGTTTGCGAGATTTACGTCTTCACGTTTTTGCGCGGTGGCCTCTAGGACAAACCATATTTGGAAGTTCACTGCGCATGCCCGCGCGGGAAACTCTCAGAACAAAGAAAAGAGAAACGCTCGTGAGTTTTTCTTTCAGCTTCCTCTCTTCAAGATGAAAACAGGAACCACGGAGACACTTTGGAAATCAAACCACGTCAACACAAACCCTGGAGCGGGTTTTCAGGCTCTGATCTCTAACAACAGAATGAACGGATGATACACGGACCCTCGAGACTCTTCCTCGTGTCTTTAGTCTCGTGATGAAGTCATGAACACTGACCTGAACATCGGTGCTATCAGAGCACGAGGCTGCTGTTTGGCTCTTGTGGTCCGGGTTCTGGTTCTCCATCGTCCTGCAGGTCTCCGCTGTGACTGGTGGACCGTGTTGTCCTGGACTGAGTCTGGATTCTGGTCTCGGAGCACTTCCGGATCCCGCGGAGCCTCCGCGTTCTCGCTGTGACGGCGCCCCGCCCCTTAGTTACTGTCGCTAAGGCCGTTTAGAAACATGGCTCCTTGATTTCAGGCAGAAGATGAAGTTTAGTTAGTTGGTTTCCTGAAACCAGCTGATCATATTTGATGTGTATGAGGGAGTGTGCTTCACACAGAGCAGAGTTTTAATGAAGCGCTTGTTATTATCACATCAGAGGCTCATGAAAATATCCTGCTGAAGCTTTTTGTTCATCGTGTTTTTACCCCTGCTGGAAAAACC